AAGTTTCAAACTCTGCTTCTTTCTCCTCTCAGGGACCTCATGATACTTCCTTTCATGCCCCAGATGCTGCGTTGTCTTGAGTTTAGCTCCGTTTCTCAGCTGAGTTGCCAAAGATTTCATTACAGCTGCCAGAGCTGCCCCACTGCTCTGCTTCTTTAAGACTGGCTCTTTAGGCCAATGCGGACAAATGGACAGACACACACGCTCCGCTCTACTGACAAGGGCATCCTCGTGTGTTCCCAGTGACCTCGGCTCAGAAGGCTGCTGAGCCACAGAGACTAATGCAAACCAGGCCTTGAGGGCTGGATTTCAGTCCATGCAGTAGTTTCAGATAAAGTTCTACATTTTAGCAACCCTGAAATTGTTACATCTACCTTTAACAATTTAACTTCTAACTCGGTGAAACTGACTGCCTTTGCATATTTCCTCATGCACTTTTAAAGGCTAGTTTAGGAATTAATAGGATTAAGAATAAGGCTTCCAAAAGCATTAATATCTTATGAAAGACAAAATTAGGTTAGGGAGAAAATAGAAGCCTAACAAACAGAGATAATGTCTCAGTTCTCTCCAATATTCTGAATGCATACGTTGCTCAAATGTTTATTAAAGATGTTAAAGTCAAAGAGATTAGTTATAGGCTCAAATAACAATTCATAAAATAACCTGAGTCCAGTTTCTCATGAACTGTATCAAAATACCTCGAGACTTCCTGTAACACATTGTAGATGATGCCTATTTGAAAGTGCACAAAAAAATCATTTCCCATTCATATTTCCTGAAGAAATATGATTTATAAGTGCAAACTAAAACAGCAGATACTCATTTTAAACCTATTAAAATTGAGGATTTATTAAGGATTGCTACACTCTGAAATAAAATGTTGTATTAATTACATTTCAAAGAACTTTTTTTTTTTCTCTACATTCAGTGGATCAGAGAAGACTGCTGAAAAGTAACGTATATGTATACCAGATCATCCCACTGCACACCTTAAACTTACACAATGTTACATGTCAACTATATCTCAATAAATTGGGGGTAGAGATGCTTTCAAATACTTTTAAACACCCAAACCATTACCAGTTGGTTGGGTTCTTTTAAAGAAGGAAAGAAGAAGAAAGGGAAGAAAATTTAAAAGAACCTACACTAGCAAGGGAAGCAGGAACAAACAGGAAGGTATTATGGGGAGAGTTGCAAAATGGAGAGTTCTCTTGGGGATAATCCTAGCACTCTGTAACTTTCAGGTTAAGTCTCCCCACCTCCCGCTGCCACCATGGGGCAGCGCGGGGTGGGGGTGGGGCGCTGACATAGGAGAGGGGGCCGTGGCAGGACATGCACAAGGCATGTGACACTTGTGCAGGGGTACCCATATGCGGGGTGCTGCAGGGACGAGGGTCACCCCCCGGGCGTCCCACCTGAAGTCCTGCCCTGGCCACCCTTCCTGGTGCATCGCTGAATCCCATGCCCTCATGTTTTTAGAGGCACAACTGAACAGACAGGAATCAACAGGGCAGGGCAAGGCCCCAGTTACAGTTACCTTGCTTTACTTTCTCAATCCTCAGGGGACATTTACTCTAGCGTGAACCTGGAAAACCCTTAAGCGTGTATTTTTCTGAGTTTATTTGGCTTTTAGAACTCTAATGCAACACACCTCTGTGAACCACGTGGTCAAGTATGCATTCTTTCGTTTTATCGACTCCGAAAGTCAGGAGTGCCCTGTGTGCCTGGTGTGGTGTCAACTCTCACAGATCGAGTCCTGAGAGGCTATGGTTTGGGACACAGGCTCTGGTGCCGGACTGCCTGTATTCCAGCCCAGCTCTGCTTCTTTTTGGCTGTGTGACCTCGGGCAAGCTACGTAACCTCTCTGGGGCTTTAGTTTCCTCATCCATAAAATGGAATAACTATAGTGTCAACCCCATAAGCTTGTTGTGGGGATTAACTCATTTAGCATCCTAAGTACTAGAATTGAATCCGGCACTTAGTTGAAGGTTTAACTAGTAAAAGAGAAACATACTAACTTATAGTAAGATCCAAGAGAAGACTTCACACAATGGGCTTTACAGGGAGACTGTGTCATTTTTGTGGCTTCGGTCCATCTCTGTCATTTCTTGTGGTCAGCACTCTGAGGATAGAATGAGCCAATCACTTTGTGGCACAGTACATTTTTGCTTCATCTATAGCACTAGGTGGATTCCTTATCATGTTTGAGGTATCATCAAAAGTTCCCATTAAATGGGGGCACTTGGATGGCTCAGTCAGTTAAGTGTCCGACTCCTGGTTTCGGCTCAGATCATGATCTCACGGTTTCTTGAGTTCAATCCCCACAATGGGCTCTGTGCTGACAGCGCAGAGCCTGCTTGGGATTCTCTCTTTCCCTCTCTCTCTGCCCCTTCCCTGCTCACACTGTCTCTGCCTCTCTCAAATAAATAAACTTTACACTTGATCTTAGCCCAAAGGCCGAGAAGCGATCAAATAAATAAACTTTAAAAAAAGTTCCTATTAAAAAGTAACTTAAGGAAGTAGGTAGGTTTGATTCTATGGACAAAGACTTGGAGAAAATAAGTATTTCAAAATATATGCTGTCACCTTTTGTTGCTTAAAGAGTATTTTCATATCAAAATTAGGAAAGTCCTAGGGAATGGTGTGACTACAGACCACAAAATGCTCTTTATTTTTAAAAAAAGTTTCTGGTGGTGTCTTTGGCAGCCAAAGATGGAGGAGGGGTGGTTAATTCAACAAGTTGCTGCACTCATTAATTCACCAGCGTGTACTAAGCCAGTGCTGTGAATCTGCTGCTGCTGGGTGCTGGGGATGTGGAAAACTTTCTGCCCTGCCAATGGGAAGCTCACTGCGCTGGAGGAAGCAGCCATGCAGGGACCGTGGCACGGCCATCAGGTTAAATCCCACAAAATAGATTTGCAACAGTTCTTTCATTGACACTGGGGGCACGCTGCTGAGCCTAGGGGTACCAGGCTGGGCTAG